TTTGTGGGTAGGGGTCCTTTAAAATCTATGTTTAATCTTTCAAATACACTTGTAGCTTTTATTAATATTCCACGGCTGTTGCAAAATTTAGGTGTTACTTCTGCACAGATTTTACAGCCACGTGTCATTTGTCGTATATTATCAATGCTGTATGGTAAGTTTTTAGATCACACCCAATGAAACATTCGAGTGACTCCAGGATGACAAAGCGATTCATGTAAAAAAATAGTTTAGGTTCTGTATGAACAGATGCACACATTCGAGATAGTGCATCCGCTGCAACATTTTCTTTCCCAGGTCGATATATAATGTCATATTTAAAACAAGAGAGCTCCAGGCGTCACCTCATAATCTTGTCATTTTTAATTTTACTATTATGCTTGGTGTTAAACATGAATGATAGCGATTTTTTGATCAGTTATTAAACGAAATTCTCGTCCTATTAGAAAATGCCTCCACTTACGGACAGATTCTACAATGGCATATGCTTCTTTTTCAATTGCAGTGTGTTTTCTTTCACACTCCGTGAGTGATCTTGAAAAGAAAGCAACAGGTCTCCCTTCCTGTGAAAGTGTCGCTCCGATTGCGAAATTTGATGCATCTGTTTCGACAGTGAATGGGATTTTGCTCTCAATGGCATGAACAGATGACTTAATTATTTCTTGTTTTAAACTTTCGAAAGCGTTTGCTGCATCATTGTTCAATGGAAAATCATTGTTATTAATAATAATTCGAATCTTTTCGGAAAATTTCGGTATCCATTTAGAATAATGTGAAAACATTCCTACTGTCCTTCTTAACGAAGCAGCATCCGTTGGAATAGGCAAATTTTGTAGAGGTTTGATTCTTTCTAAATCTGGAGTGATCATTTTATTATTAATGTTATATCCAAGAATAGAAATACTTTTAATTGAAAATGTAAATTTTTTCTCATTTATAGTAAGATTGTACTTTTTGACAGCAGACATAAACTTCTCAAGATTATAGTCATGGTCTTCTTTATTCTTATCACATACGGTAACATCATCTAGATAGGCGAACGTAGATTGTAGATTTTCCGTTCGTATTATCCAGTCTATAGTTCTCTGAAAGCTACTTACACTCCAAATGGGATTCTACAAAATTGATATAAATTTCCGACTGCTTCAAAAGCAGTTAATGGTTTTTCCGTATCAAGGATCGGAATTTGGTGATACGCGCTTTTTAAGTCAATCTTTGAGAATAATTCGTACTTAGCAATTTCTTGTACAATTGTCTCTATATTTGGCAATGGGTAAGCGTCTAAGTAAGTATATTTGTTGATAGTTTGTGAATAATCAATGCAAAGACGCTTTTTATGATTATCATTTTCTATTACAAGAACTTGAGCTCTCCATGGAGATCTGCTTTCTTCAATAATACCATTTAATAATAATTCCTGAATTTCATTAGCAATGAATTTTAAATCATCTTTAGAAAAACGTCTAGATTTAGTGACTATAGGTTTACAGATCGACGATAAGTTAGGAAAAATTGATACTGGAGGAATCATAGCTGCGGTTACTCCGCAAATTTCAAGTTTTGCTCTTGGACCACCAAAATTTAATTGAACTTTGCAATGTTGAGTTAATACATCATGACCAATAATAATATCCGCACATAAATGTTTTTTACAATAAGTAATTTTATATTTTTATAAATGTGATTTCCTATGCTTATTGACGTAATACACAGGCCTTCTACATTCGATGTATAATTAGTCGTAGCCATTGTCACTTTCTCTGAACATTCTTCTTTTATTAGACAACAGCGATCAAAAAATAAACTATTAATGTAGCTTCTAGAACTTCCTGAATCGATTAAAGCCTGAGCATTTACCCCCTTTATTTTTATAGTTACAATTGCTTTACCGAGGCATGCAGGTGATGCAGCTATGACAGAAGCTACAGCGTCCATGTCATCTATTTCCATTGCGGCATTTACAGATTTTTTTGAGTTACGACATGCTTTGCCCCAATGTCCCTTTTTATCACATATTTGACAAATCGCATTCCTTGCAGGGCAATTTGAAGTGTATATTTCCGCCACAAAAAAAACATTTCTTTCGATTGTATAAAGTTTTCTGATAAGCCGACGAAAACTCATGATTTTTTACATGAGTTTGTGATTGCGAAGCATTTATTGGATTGATCTGATATTCTTGAGCAGTAGACTTCGCTAGCTCCAATGATACTGCTTTGTTATATGCTTCATCTAAAGAAAGTGATAAATTTTCTAATAATCTCTGTCTGATATTATTACATGAAATACCAGAAATGAAGGCATCTCTTATATACTCTTCTTTATATTTTTCAGCAGACACTGATGTAAATTCACATTCCAGACTTTGTAGTTTTAATTTATGTATAAACTGTTGAATCGTTTCCCCGTTTTCTTGTTTTGAGGTGATAAGCGTGTGTCTTGCAAAAATTATATTTTCTGGTTTGACGAATGCAAGCTCTAAATTATTGATCGCATCTTTGTAGCTAACACAATGACATATATATTCATAAACTTTTGATGATAGATGATTAATCAGAAGTTGCAATCTTGCTTTTTTCATCTTTAACATCATTTATAGCCAAAAAAATTTCAAAAGTTATATACCAATGTCTCCATTCTTGTGCCGCGGTAGCAGATGAAGAATCGGTTTCAAAATTTCTCTGGTCTTAAAAATCTCTCCATACTTCTTGAGAATTATTTTATTGAATTGTTGATTCTTTCTGCTTAATAAATTGATAAATAATACAAAACCTAGTAATTAGGTTTTATTAAGCAGAAAATATATACATACGTAAGAACAATTGTGTCAGTAATAAGGAACATTCAAAAGAATAATTTTAAAAACAATGTTTACATTTATGGCGAATGGCCAGTATTATATCAGTGATGAACTGACCCTTGTTCATGTCACTGGTTGCCATTTCAAAGCGAACAGCGTCAGAAAGGTGGAATGAGCACTGTCAGTAAAATTCCAGTTGTCTGTGACAGCAAGTAGCATTGGTACTTCATCCTCTGAGTTCGTAATGATCAACTACGGCAGAGTTTTTTTTTGCTTCGACAGGAATTATTGGAGCAAGGCCTGTGTCTTGATTTTTCCTGAGCAGGGATTTCTTCCTTCTTAAGTTCTAGCTCGGGATTGCCGTTTTGGGCTAGGTATCTAGAGTAGATATCTAGAGAAAAAAATGATCTCGACACGAAAGTTAACAAGACAGAGAAAAAATTGAGACAATTAGAAATTTCTATGCTAAATCATCACACTTAACGAGTAGGTTATTTTGTTTTTCTCCTCTTGTTACTACATACTTTCAATTTTTAATTAATCAAACTAGGCAATACAATTTCATTACTTTTATTTAGAAATATGGCAATTGAGAATATCGGCATATATATCGAATACGGCAATTCTTTAAAGCTTTAATCAACACTGATTCCGTGGAAGTTGTTGACTGTTTGATTAAATTCAATCAGCAAGTAATCATATTCATTTATAAATAATTTAAAAATTATAATTCTTGTCCATTTGTAATGAAATAGTTTTTTTATCAGATAATTCTCTTATCTTGATAATATAAAAAAGTCGTGATATTTTGGGAATATTTTTTTGGGAAAATTTTAGGAGTTAGCATTTTTTTGAAAAAAACTAAATAAAAGTATTTATTTTATTCAAAAATTATAATTTAATAATGCTGTGCTGCTTTAATGGACGTCAGGCCAAGTCCTATTATCTCTTGTATGTATATTTTACATTCTTCCGCCCTGAACTATAATATTGAATGTATTATGTCTGACTCAAAATATAAAAATATATTAACTAATGATTGCGTGTGATGAGCAAAATAAAATGCCAAAGGTTGTAAAAATTGTCGTCGGATATGCTAACAATTAAACTTATTATTTAAGGTATTCTTACGATTAATTATTATTATTATATATACTTTATTATACACCACAAAAAGTTTTATACAGTTGATATAAAATATATCTTAAAAGCGAGGTACAATAAGGCGGTCTTATCGCTAAAGAGCGATCTCTTCCAGACAACCTTAGGTCAAGGAAAATTAAACTTATGAATAGTGGGAGGTGGTGTGCTTAATAAACTTACTTAATAATAACAAAATAATCTATAATAAACATACATAAAAATAAATAAATATATGAAAGTATAATAGATTACTATTGTCAATGTTACAATTAATATGTTATTTTTTAAGTTACATTTATTTTGGCGCGTTATGGAAAACTTATGAGAGTAAAGTTTTACGATGCGCGCGCACACCGTCACGAATAAGCGACACCCTGAAGTTAGCTAGACATCTACGTATGTTTGCGTGAGAACTGAGAACAGTATTCACGATATTTATTTGATCATATTTAAAGAAACTTTATTTAACTAGATAATATGTTATTATAAAACTTTCAATATATTAAATACCTTTTTTCTATTGTTAGTGTCGTTTTTTCTAAAAACGTAGAATATTTATTAATAATTTTATCTTTGGAAGATAAAATTTTTGAAATGATTTTTATCTTGTTAAGGCAAAGAAGTATAACTTCTAACGCGTGTACATACGTATGCACACACTTTTTTTTAATTGTATTGATATTATCGTTAACGTATTCCTTTATAAATAATATAAAAATTATAATTCTTGTCCATTTGTAATGAAATAGTTTTTTTTTTATCAGATAATTCTCTTACCTTGATAATATAAAAATAATCGTGATTTTAAAATTAAGGAAGGTGTTGTTTGAATTTAGTCAATTTTAGTGGGTTTTCGAATTGCTTTAGGAGTATTATTTTTGATTCGAATATTTGGTAACACTTTTAAGTAATGTCATTGTCACTTTGTCATCTGGTCCAATACAATGCCATAGTTCTATGTTCAAAATGAAATAAGGACAATGGAAACTTAAATCCATTTTATCAAATAAACATTATATTGTTGAGCTACCTTACCATTTTATTCGATAACAAAAACATGTCGACTGAAATGGACCCACAAGTGATACAATATGTGCCATTTATGTCTTTTGTGCATCCTTCATTTTGGCATAGCCTTACAGATATAAAGTTGAACGTAGATAAATTAAACGAAAACAATAACCAAATTACCGGTCGTTACACTTATCGTGATGATGTTGGCACAGTGTTCGAAGTTGATTGTACGTCCTTTAACAGGTGGGTGAGGAAGCTAACTTATGAAATGGACAAAAACATAATTATAAACTTTAACATAATTATAAATAGATAAACTAATGAGGTATTAACATAGCACACTAAAACCACTTTTGTACAAAAAAAAGAATCAATTTACATTCTATAGAAGTCAACTCATGCTATAAATAAGTAAAGCTAATGAAATATTTATTAACTTTTTTGTATAAATTTTTATAAGGGTACCTGATACTGAACAATTCTATCTCAATGTCACTGGAACAGTTATGAACAAAAACACAATAGAAGACTTTAAGAATATTGATAAAGCAGCCCTACTCAATGGAATAGGAGAACTTATATGGCCAACAATTAAAGCAAAGACTTGGATACCAAATCCTAAATGCCTATTAAATTTTATTGTTTTATCTTTTGCTGTAAGTATGTTAGGTTAAACCATTTTATCAAATTAAAATGAAATAAAATAACATAAACATTAATATCAAGTATCCAATAATACACACACTCCTCTGGAACTCATTTTTTGAAAATATATTTCATCATTTTTATTAATATACTTAAAGCATATTTGTTTCATAGGTTATTTATATTGGGTAATACTTACTTTTGTTAAAATTACTGGTTTTCCAAATAATAAAAATTTCCTAATTATAATGCTAATGTGATTGTCATTGTTGGGACTCTCACTTTTAATTCAATATTCTCAAGCAACCTGAGTTCAATTTCTGGTGTCAGCACCAATGATATAGTTAATTTTAAGTCTTAACTTGCCAAATGCTCAGCAGTGAAGGAAAATAATGTGAGGACACCTGCATATTTTCTAATAAAGATAAAAAATATTTCAAAGACATGTGAAGACCGCCAATCCTCAGTGGGGTTGCATGGTGGACTATGCCCTAATACCCTCTGGTACATAGCAGTCGAACATATATAGGCCGTTACTTTACTTATGCTAATGTATAGCTCAAAACCTTTATTTCTTTTGCAGGATCTCAAAAAATTCCATTACTTTTACTGGTTTGCATTCCCCAGTCCTAGTCAGCCTACTGTTTATCTCAAACAGAAAAGTGAACCTGTCACATCAATTTTTAACAATAAACAGTTGGAGGAATTGGACAAAGGTTTCAAATGTTTAGACACAGCACAGAAATATTTCTTTGTTATTACAAAGAATGGTGACAGCATTGAAGTTGGTCCATTATCAACAGTTTTAGATTCAAACAAAAGTGAACAGAGTGCTAATGATATTGAATTTTCAAAGAGGTTTTTTGCATTTGCTGATCCTAGCAATGGATCAAATGCTGGATGGCCTTTGAGGTTGTTGATTGCCGCTTTATTGGATCACTGTCCTGATTTGGGTGATATGATTATCACAGTTATAGGACTGAGGTGTAGTGTTGGCGGTGGCATAAATAATAGTTATGTCTACAATGTCAAAATACCACAGGTATGGCGAATTTTCATCAATCATTATGATAAATCAAATCAATTGTTATGATCAAAAATATAACTTGTTTTGGAGTTTTGAAGCTAATGGAAAAGACAAGACTAATGTTATTAACATTTATAATATAACTAGCTGTCCCAGCAAACATTGTTTTGCCATATAAATTATTTGTAGGGTAGAAAAAAATGTTTGGGGTGGACCACCCTTAATAGATGTTGTCTGATTCTCCACCCTGGCCTATATGCACACAAAATTTCACGAAAATCGGTCGAGCCGTTTCGGAGGAGTTCAAACAGTGACATGAGAATTTTATATATTAGAAGTTATTAACATTTCACCATTCTTATAGTCTTGGACAGGACAGTTAAAACCTCGGTCACTCATAGCGAATTGTGTGTGAGTTCACTGTTAAGACAATAATCAATGATACTATAACTATACTACAGATATGTTGGTAAAGCGCCCGGAGTTTGCGTTAAACTTTTTTTGTTTGTTAAACTTGTTTTGTTGTAGGTAGGTAGTAGTAAAGTGTACAAGTGTGTAGTATAAGTGTAACAAGATTTTTGGAATTACGGCTAATTCACAAAAGAATGTTATATCAGCATTAGGTTACCAGAGTTCTATATACAAAATTTAAGAGTTTTCATCGGCAATGTCTGGCCATATTTTATACTTTAATACTGTAGATATACATAACCAGCGGTTTTCTTTCCAAATAGAGTGACAACACTCTCACACGTCTCATTCGGATGGTGTGAAAAAAATTGCGGAATTAAAGCAATACAAAAAAGAAACAGGCAATTTTTGTCACTTTCGCATAAATGTGAACAAATCTCGCGGTGCATCTGTCTTTCTAGTCCCTTATTAAACTTACCTGCTGCTTCTTTCTTTGTTTGCCCACAAAAATAGAGACGTTTCGTGGCTTCAATCCAGGTTGCGTTACCACAATAGATATTTGCAGTCTAAAATGTCATTGCATCCTGGTATGTTTTCATTATTAGATGTCACTTCAGTATTATGTTCTTGCTTATGACAGATATACTATACTTTGAATACAATTGTAACATTTTGAATAAAAAAAAATATATCAAAATTTCAATAACATTTTTTTTCAGAATGTTCAAAAGACAGATGCTTACGGTTGGGTTGGTTGGGAGAGGAACGATAAGGGTAACTTTGGGCCCAAACTTGCAAACATGTCTGCGTCAATGGATCCAATTAAGTACTAAAAGATAATAATTAGATCAACAATAGGGAAGTAAAACATATGTCTATAACAGTTAACTTTGCAGACTAGCCGATGCATCTTCTGATCTCAATATAAAGTTAATGAAATGGCGTCTAGTGCCGAACATTGATATCGACGTGATGAGGAATACCAAATGTCTATTACTGGGAGCCGGTACACTTGGATGTCACGTTGCTCGTGGCCTCCTGGTAAGAGTCTTAATAAAATTATATAGGGCGTTGTTAGTGCAATTAAGTTAGTGCATTTAAAGTTAGTCAAATTCATTATACAGTACCAAATGAATGTGGTCAGTTGTATATATTTCGGTTTATTCCGGTTTTAAATTTTCACTTATGGCTACTCCCTTATGACTGCTTATTTTTTTTATAATATACAACTTCAGGCCTGGGGTTTCCGTCATATAACTTTGTTGGACAACGGCAACGTTTCGTATTCGAACCCGACGCGCCAAGTGCTGTTCAACCACAAAGATTGCGTTGACGCGCGCAAGAAGGCGGTAGCTGCCGCAGACAACTTGAGACTGATTCTGCCTACTGTAGTAAGTCTTGCTTGTTTGTATTAACAGTAAATCCACAATGTAATATATAAAAATTTCAATCAAGCTTCCGTATGTTTCCGTTCCGAAAACTAGCCGATGGATTGACTTGATATTTGTTCACAACATAGCGATTGAACAGGAGTGTTTTTATACAATTTTTATTCCGAAGTAACGTCGGAAACGGGACAAAAGTCTGATAAATGTGGCCGGGTTGTGCTAGTGATAAAACGGATTTCGTTACAATATTAACGATATCCGTAGTTCTTGGGTTTTCTAAAAGCTCAGGCTAAATGACCCCCAATGAACTCCTCTGATTAGGTCACTGAAGGAAGAATTATGTTTAAATCTTACTAGTTTTTCCTATCTCACTAAAGGTTTTACGAAGTTACTGGACTTTCTGGTCACAAAAAAACACTATACCATAGTGTTTTTTGTGTTCCATCGGTCAAAAATGTCATAATATTCATGAAACCTATTGAACAACTTGTGAGGCAGCAACGCGTGATCTCTTTTTTTCCTCCAACACAATATGTGAATTATGTTGTTAACGTTATTGGCTGGTATTCTTCACGACCTGCCTGACTTCCAGCCTCCTTGGGAAAGCAGACAGATCGAGAACAATTATCTAATCTATCGGTTACACACATACTTGTCCCGTGTGGGAATCGAACCAAAGACCCGGAAGCGACAGCCGATAACTCAGTAACTTGCGAACGTTTGCAGCAAAGCCGCGGAATAGTCGCCCACATACCGATGCCCGGGCACCCAGTCGGGGATTCCCTGGTCGAGGAGACAATGGCCAGCCTCAAACTGATAATCGATTCCATCATTGAGCACGACGTCATATTCTTGCTCCTCGACACGAGGGAGGCAAGGTGGCTGCCAACGGTCATCGCGGCAAACCACGGCAAGGTAAGTTATCTGACACCCGCTGTCACTAGATACCCGCTCGTAGGGTTACCATCTGACAAGCATTTGCCACATTTGACAGTCGTTTTAACATCTAGATAGGCGATCGGCCGGCACTGATCAGAGACAGGCATTTTAAAATTTCGCTCCCTTTTTGTCGCATTTCGAATATTAATATGATTTTGTTACCTACCCCAGCGTTCTTTAATTTTAGACAGGAATTTTCTGATAAATCAGGTATTCCTGGCAAATTATGACATGCTTCACTTATGCATGGTCTTTTAGTTACGTGTCTATCTATAAGCTAATATCTGGTGGATAAAATATTTGCCTACTAATGATTCGTGGACTTCATTTCTTTAATTAACCTTTAAAAAGGTTAATTTAAGACGTTGTCCTGTAAACGCGGCTTAAACACAACAACTTATAAATAAAAAAATATATTGGAACGAATTGTAAATCTAAACCATTCTCGGAACGACCTGAGACACACAAAAAAGTTCAAGGAGGTGTTCAGTGACATACACACGTACAGATAAATTATATATACATAAAAAGATACATCCAATTATTTAGAGACATCAGTTTGATTAAGTGCAACGCTGTCGTATCTCCCCACAGATAGTTATAAACGCTGCACTCGGGTTTGACAGTTACCTAGTAATGCGCCACGGTGTTGCTCTATCCAACCCGGGCAATACCGCATCCGTTGATAACACTTTTGTACCGGGCGGCCAGTTGGGCTGTTACTTCTGCAACGACGTGACCGCTCCGGGCAACGTAAGTTTTTTTAGGTTATAATTAACATACTTTTTAACACTGTTCGCAAATTGGTCAAAATTTAACTACATTATGAAAACATGTTTTATGCTTAATTGGTGCAACATTTTTTCACAACAAAACAATGCTTAACATAATTTAAAAAAGACGCAGTGTTAAAAAATTGGAAACTTAATTTGGCGCCAAAAGTCCGCCATAACGTTTTTTTTTTTAAATTTTAATCATAAAAATTTAATAAAAACGGATCAAACGACATAATCATTCATCTAAACTTTTGTACCTCGCCACTGTCGAGCATAAAGCGAATAATTGAGAAGTTTGTTCTAAAATGCCTATAGTTCCGAACAATTTCAGTCTATGAAGGATCGAACGTTGGACCAGCAGTGCACGGTTACGCGGCCAGGTGTCGCTTCCATTGCGGGCGCACTGGCGGTAGAAATGCTCGTCGGACTGTTACAACATCCGCTGGGGTAATACAATTGTGTTCCATGTTCAAGACCTTTCGTCTTTTATTTTAGTTATTTATTTGGTGCGGTTACAATATACAAATTATAATATGACTAAATAATTACAGACCATGTTACTAAACTTGCATTTCAATAGAGCACAACATTAAATTTGAATATGTTATTTTAATAATGTATATAATAAAAAAGCTTACTAATATATTAATTTATTTTGTCTTGCAATTATAACTGGAAGTAATACAGAGATTGTCACACAGTATGAAACTTTGCTTCTATTTCGCGATTTCTATAAAAAAGGCATATGGCCGTCGGTCCTGTTGCTGTCACAACTGTCACTTTTTACAATTAGCAAAAGAAAAAACCGGCCAAGTGCGAGTCGGACTCGCGCACGAAGGGTTCCGTACCATCTATAAAAACGGCAAAAAAAATCGTGTCTTTTTTATTTACCCACTTAAATATTTTTTTTTTATTCTGTTTTTTAGTATTTGTTGGTATAGCGGCAACAGAAATACATCATTTGTGAAAATTTCAACTGACGAACTATCACGGGTCATGAGGATAATTAAGAGCCCGGCTTCGCACGGGTGCAATGCTGAATGTTTGTTTTCGACATGGCATTAGAAACCTCTAAAATAATCAGTGTTTCTCTACTATAGTATGCATAAATTATAAATATACGTATAAATCTTATCTCTTGAATCACTCTATCTATTAAAAAAAACCGCATCAAGATTCGTTGCGTAGTTTTAAAGTTCTAAACATATATAGGGACAGACAGACAGCGAGACGACTTGGTTTTATAATATGTAGTGATGACTAATAGTATTTTGCAAGAAATGTAAGTTTCTACTTTCCCGTTTTGCAGGGTGGACGCACCTGCAGTATACAATCTAAACGATGATGGCGGAGAAGATGCCGATATGCAGGGTGTCCTAGGCCCAGTGCCACACTCCATCCGCGGCTTTCTGCACTCCTTCCAAACGATTATGCCGACCTACGCTAAGTTCAAGCAGTGCATAGCCTGCTCCGATGTTATCATAAATAAGTACAGGGATGATGGCGTGAAGTTCCTGATGGAGGTGTTCAACAGCGGCAAGTATCTTGAGCAGCTGAGCGGATTGGAGGAGTTGCAGTGGATCGCTGAAGTGACGGAGGTACGTGTTTAAAATATTACCTACATAATATCCCTACGATGGTGTGTGAAGTTGTCTCGTAATGTTGCCATGTTGGTTATTGGGCAGTGTAGATACAATATGATCGAATTATCAATGGGCTTATTGTAATTTACCACTGCCAACATTATTTAAAAAAGCGAGTGACTGTAATTTATAATCACGTTATGACATATTGTAATGAGTCTAGTAGATTTTTTTGTATAAGCAAAACGAGCCGACCCGTCATTAGGGTTGTCGCACGTTGTCTTTAAGGAATATATTTAATATAATTGTGTTTTAAATTAAATATATTAAAATCGTTAAGTGAGCGGTTGTGGCGCCTCCAGGGTAGACTTTTATTTGTCTAATCAGGCTATAACATATATAATCGTACATAGCCGTGGCTTTTATTAAACTTGCATGGAAACGTGAAATATTGTATAATTTGTATAATAAAGTGTGTTTTTATATATTTAATCACGTTATATATTTTGGTATTGCTGGCTAGATTGAGACAGTTTTACTGCCACTTAAGGGTTAATATGGGGTTAAAATGGAAGGTAGGGATTATGGCTAAGATGTTAAAGTAACCGTAGATGCGTTCTTCGCGGCCTGTTTTCGGAAGAATTAAGCGAGATATTTGCCAGACGTCAGTCGTGTACTATTTTTGAAATTATTTATCTCTTTCTTATAACAAGAACAGCGGTTCTGGTTATGGTTTACTTGTGGGAAGATCCAATTTTGTTAGACGTGTAATATCGGAGCAAATGGAACAACGAATAACAAGGGTTAAAAAACGTGGACAAAATTAATAAAAAAATGTACGAACTATTAAAGATACGCCTAACTGATATTGCAACTATGCATTGACATTAAACAATGAAATTGATAGGCGTTGAATTTAAAATTTTAATTATAAATTAAAATTGATTAAACACTTATAGGGTTAGAGTTTATATTGTGTTCCCTATTGTGACGAGGAGATGAGATAAATACTACGCTACTATTATATATTCGCGATAATTGCGTTCTTATATAGTGCAATCGCGTTGGCGTATAACGGGTGTCTATATAAAATTTCATTAGATGAGGGTTATAAGTTCGGCGCTTTTATCTTTATTTTTATTTACTATTACTTTGTTCACAGCTGCTGGTGCTTTCGGATGAAGACACAGAGTAAATACTACAGATCCCACTAAAGATTCGTAATGGACATTTAATGTCACTCATTTATTTGTCATTAGCGACAGCTATCAGGTTTAATCAGAGCAATAAGGGATTATGTCGGCTGCGGGGAGCCCCGCATGCTTCATAACGACGGACTTATTGGCCAATGGCCTGAAGATTTATAAATACCAAAGCACTTTTCAATCGTTTTAAAACATAAATAAAAAAAAACATAAAAACATAACATAAACCTCAATTTTCGTGAGATTTTCTTACGATCGACTTTTTCGAATAGATGCATTTATATAACACAGCTTTATTACCTAAATGTTTACGGTACAGGAAAATAAACATGTCTAATATTCACGTATTTAAGCTAAATAATACATCTGTTAATGAAAAAAAATATTCTTTTTGTACTTTGTAGGACGTTTTTAACTTGTATAAGAACTGATAAAAAATGCCATCGTAATTAGCCGATGTAAATATAAATCATTTTACGGGCTGCGCAAGACCTAAACTGTCGAATGCAAAACTCAAGCTATAACTCCATATAAATTACCAAATTAAAAAAAAATATATTTTACGATACTGAACGACGTTTTTCGCGGCTCTACTTATTTTATAAAAACCCCGATTATGAGCTGAATGGCTATTTTCATATTACATAAGGCAACACATTTTGCGTTCCAATAACGTTTCCAACACTATTTTAATAAAACAGCTATGATACAAGCACCACAACTGTAAAACTTAATAACTTAATCGTGTTTCAGTTTCAGCTTTGTCGAACTTTACCGTGTGCAACTTTAACGAATCTCAAGTAATATATTTACGTTAAATTTGCAAAAAAAATTTTATCGTCTACATAAAGTCAATATTTATAAAATGAATAAAATTTTAATTATTTAAAAGAATTTTGACTTTTTTTGCCTCAAGTTGGAGTCGACTCAGTTGCAGTCTGTAAATAAAATAAGCTAACTTTGTAATAATAAAAAATTGCCTTTTATTTTTAAGGATTTTATTTAGTTACATATTTACATAGCTTGAAGACTAATTGTTTTACCCGTCCTGTTCTCTCGTATCATTTGTTCAATTTTATGTTGAAGTTCAGTGATAAAATAATGTTTGGTCAACGAGTTTTGTAAGAACTTCAGTGACGCTTAAGTTTTGCGCCCCTATACGTAATTTATTTAACTTTATACTACTATACGAGTTTTGTGTAGTTGACACCTTTTTGATACTATCTTATAATTGTTGTAATTAATGAATACGATCAGTCACTGATGTCTTAAAATGTAATCTGTAACGGGAACTCTGCCTCAGATCTCTCATGCTGCATATCACTGTAATAAACTCTACTAGAAGGACGCTATTATTTTGTAGCGTGTTTTTTTTATTCTCAGTGTTTGGAAAAGGGACAGGCGATTCATCCGACGTTAAGTGATTACCAACGCCTATGAGCACCTACAACACGTGGGATTGCTGAAACATTACCTTTAAAATTGTTAAAGGCCGGGGTGACCTTACTCATCAGGTAAAATATATATAAAACAGGTACTTTCAAGCTAATAAGTACCACGGCCGAAGATACTACGTGGGCTTCCGACAATTAACAAAGCGTTAACACGCTCTTCAAATAGATATACCCTCGACTTTTGTTACAAAAATTTGCACTTGCTTTTTTTTAATGTTGCATCGAGTCTCATAAATAATTACGTACAAAACTTATGATATATAACGATATGTCAGATATGAATCGCTTTCTGATGGGAATGAAGAATTTTGGTAGAGATCAAAAATAAAAGTGTACAAACAAAAATCTCATAACCACAGTTCATCATCTCATAACAAGGTAATACAAAATAAAATGCTCAACTATATAAGACAATATTTTTTAACTACACAGTGTCTCCATAATCCTAAGGGCGCATGTTTAATTTTATCTCTGACAATGGTGTTTTTGTTGGGGTGAAGATCTCCTTTACTGGCTTAGGTGGTCTTATCTTCCTTCCATGTCTGCCGTCTTTCCTCTTCCACAAGCCAGACCTTGGTCTGTTTCCGAGCCATCTGTTTCTTTGAGGTGAGCCAATTGGAGTATTTCCGTGTTCGACATTTGATAAACGACCTGTATAATAATGTCAAACGTAAATAGAAATTAAATCCAAACATGTTATTTTAATCAGATAATATATTTTACAAAAAAAGTGACTTTATATTCCTCCCGTATACAGCGCCAATTGGGTACAATCTTTATTGATATAATATTTACAGGATTAAATCTATCTAAAATTACATATTATCTAATAAACCTAATCCACGCGGCATGGTGCCAAGAACGCTAGCTGCATTTCCTCGCCGAATAATAATAATCAGATAATGCAAGTTATTCGCTCATATTATTAATAAACTTTATTGCCCTTTACTATGTATTGAGAAAACATAACTGAAGAAAAATTAAAAAAATGTTAATTGCCTACCAACGACAGCCATACAGTGTTGGTCGAAACTGAACAATCTATTGGATGGCATTTGGACAATGACACGGTCATCTTGTTTGCGGGTTATAGTACCAAATGTTCCTGCCGCGTGAATGTACAGACCACCTTTTCCTAAAACAACAAGAATAGGATTTTTGAGAAGTTTTTATGAACTATAGTGGTACTATAATTTATCTATTCTATACATATAATAGAAATGTAACTAATCGCTGTCTGTAGATGGAAGATATTTAGTTAGTTTAAGTTATATCAACTTAAAGAACCACATTGAAGATCTTTTCCGACAGCAGGTAAGTATTAGCTACAGTCGAATTGGTTGAAACTAATAGTTAGCTATATATTATTGTCTGTAAAATGATGGTTGTAGGTTTATATTAAGGTAAACAAAAATCGAATAAGTGCGAAGGTTGCTTAGGTACTTTTTAAACACAATATAAAATGTAGTACATTCGGGCGGAACCGCGGGCAATAAGCTAGTACTTACTATATTCTTGGTTAATAAAGAGATATGTGACAGTTATATAAAATCCCAATGCTGGTACTTCCTACACATACCTACTACATATAGACCAAAGACAAATAAGGCAGATCCTTCAGGGAGCCGTGATAGCTCCGTGTCCGGGCGCTCGCCTTTAATTCAATATACGAGTACTTGAGCGACCTGAGTTCGATGGTGCCGGTGCCAATGAAATTGTTCATTGTAAGTGCTGACTTATCTTTATGGAATAATAATAATTATTATAAAATATCTTTATTCACATAGACGCTTGCGCGTTCTTATGAAACGTCAAAATTTTGCAAAGAAATTAACATGTTCGTAAGTTACCAAACCTGCATATTTTTAGGAATAATAACAAAAAAAAATATTTCCAAGATATGTGAAGTCCGCCAATCCGCTGTGGGGCCGCGTGGTGGACTATGACTTGATACCTTCTGTATATAGAAGGCCTTTGCCCAGCAGTAGGACGTGTAATAATAACATCTGTCGAGCTTGTCGCCATCTCGGGGAGTCGCTTCGGCATGTTATTTCCGGTTGTTCTAGTCCGATCTGTCTAATCCTACACCAGGAGCTCGCTTTGAAATACGGCCTCGTGGATCGGAAAGTGCCGTACTACATGTACTCTCCAGAGGCCGTGCTCGAAAATGACCGCACCAGGCTTTATTGGGACCGCCCCATCATCACGGACAGGACGATTGTCGCGCACAAACCTGACATCGTGGTGATGGACCGGGCACAGTCGCGGATATTTTTAGTCGACATTACCGTTCAATATGACGAGAACCTCGTAAAAACCGAAACGGATAAGAAGACAAAGTATCTGGACCTGGCTTACGAGGTGACCGACATATGGGGTGGTGTGCCTACCGAAATTATCTCGATAGTCGTGTCTGCGAATGGATTAATCCCAGTCACCCTCTCCGAGCATCTGAGGCGACTGGGACTCCGGGACGGAACGCTCCAAGTTCAAATCCAGAAGGCGGTGCTCTTTGATGCCCGCATGGTCCGCCGGTTTCTCTCCCTTTCACCCTCACCCTCGGTCTCCCCCGTCGAGGGTTTCCGTCTGGTTGGGTCCTATTTATATATGTATTATATACAATATTTATATCTATATGTTTATTCTTTATCTAAAAACCCAACCAAACGAGAAAACAAATGAATATCCCCCAAAATAACAATAAAATATCTTTATTCACAAAGCCGCTTGCGCGTTCTTATGAAACGTCAAAATTTTACAAAGAAATTAACACGTTGTAAGTTACCACCAGGTCGCAAAGCAGTTTCTGTTGAGAAGAAACCGACAAGAAACTCAACAGTTGCTCTTTTTTAAAAGGTCAGTTTACAATAGTACAGGTATAATAGTCCTGTTTTAGCCTACGTGAGTATCAACAGTATTAACCCCACACATTGGCGTCGTCAAAATATTCCGTAATAGTATAATAGGCTTTAGCCATTAAGTTTACGTTTAAATTTATCAAGTGGCAGACTTAATATCGACTGTGGGATTTTATTATACATGCGCACACTTGCCCCATGAACGACCTGTTTACTTTTTGTAGACGAAACAATGGCGTAGTTACTTTGTCCTTATTCCTAGTATTTAGTTTGTCTGTCACTATTCTTTAGATAATTATTAATATTATGTTTAACATAAAAAATATTACAATAAATATATTGAGACGCAACGGTGAGTATATTAATCTCTTTAAAAAGGTCTCTGAGTGTATTCCGGGCTCCAATGTTATAGTTTACTTTAATCAGAGAATGCTGAAAATGTCAATATAATAAAATCTTTGGAAATCAATCATCAATCAATAAGTCGTTCTGATGTTGCCTATACTACCATGATGGGCTGTCGTTATTCCATCTCTAGCAGATTGAGTGACCTTTGTCTAGGAATTATCATTTTAAAATGTATTTGTCTGAAGAAGTGGTTTGAAGACGGATTTTGCAAATTAATATAATTTACCTGGGTCTTTCTCAACACAGTGTACAATTGTACCAGTTGGTAGGGCTCCCAACACATATGCGTCTCCTTCATTAGCTTTAACTGTAAATCGAAATCCAATTACGGTAACTTACTTAACTAATTTATTCAAAGTTTATTGTTCAGATAAGAATAGGAACATCTTTAAAGTATTCGAAAAGTATAGCTTGCAAAAAAATATAATTCGTCATTTTTAACCTCAATTACAAGAAAGAAATTAAATTTTATATATGTACTACCATAGACACAAATGCTGTGCTCATAAAAATTGGGGTTAAAATCATTGAAAATATTCCAAAAATAACTGTTTGGCTCACCCTACCTGGCTGATTTGATTTGAAGGCTGTTTTCCATTGACGTCCGTCAATTTGGGGGTTGATATTTTTTTTTACAGAGAGGTTAAGTTATTATAAGCACACAGGCAATTTTATAAAATGTGAGACATGCAATTTTGGAGAAAAAAAATTATTGAATAACCACAGTCGCAATCCAATTTTGCCATGTTTGAACCTACCAATCAATCCATAGGTGGATTGATTGGTAGGTTCACTCTCGATCGACGATCACTCTAGAGATAGGTCCCTAGAGTGATTTTATATAGCCGGAGGCGCGTTGGAAGCGCAGCATCCACCCGCTTTAACAAACTGTAGGCATTACACGAGCCGGAGCGGCTGATGCTGGTGGAAGGCGACAAAGAAGTCGAAGTTCCCCCATCACTGCAGAGCAGAGGCTGCTCTTTCCGCAGCGCCTGAGATGTTGCATTCTCAAAATGAATACAGAAGTACCTCTGAATCAATAAGCCTATTTTATCTAATTAGGGGTACACCCCCTTCTCCTCGAAGAAAAATCCATAAAATGAGGAAAATTCTCTCAGAATTAAAAAAATTAAAAACTCGAAAAGGGGGGGGGGGGGGGGGGGTCCGCAACTTTACGTTTTAAGGGGGTTAATATCCCTCTTCCCCTCACCCCACCCGTCAATTCGACAGTCGTCAATGGAAAACCGAGCCTGTAAGTGCACCTTATGAAGGTGCACTTACAGCTATTTGCAGTGGTACAATTTAAGTAAACAATAATATAACATGATTTTAACCAACCCTTTCTTGGATGAAAAAACTAAAATGATTTTATTTATATAACACAAAGTCATGCACCTGGTATTCTTGGTAAGTATCTTGATGTCTTCAGAATATCACCAGCCTTCATATTTTCTGTTGCTAAAATATATTTTAATTTATCTCCAACGGCAACCAATGCAATATGGGCTGTTCTGCATCCATCCTCCATTATCTAAATACAAGTAACAGAATATCAAGTAAAATTATTTAACAAAGAAAAAATTATGTCCATCTTACAAATATATGAAATATAAAACTTTTATACCTAAAGTTACGCCCGGTTTCTGAAACACTGATGTCAACTAATCAGCTGTCAAATGGCTTTTCAAATTTCATTTTAGTTGCAAAAAGGATGGTTAAACCCTCTGAATTGACCAGAATGATCTTCTTAATGATCATAATGATCAATTCAAAGAGTTAAACGATCCTTTTGGTAACTGAAATAACATTTTACAAATAACAGTAACAGTGTTTAAAAAGACAATAAGTATACAATAACGTAATAATTGTTACAAATACGACTTAAACATGAATATAAAACAAAAAAACAACAAGAAAAATTTATAAAAATAAACAATCTTTTTCGGATTTGATATCGAGTTTATATAAAATTTTGGTTATATTTTTAATTTGAAGTATTAAAAAGATTGACAATTTTGGCTCTAAAAGTTTTTATACTATCGCTAAATAAGTCAATAGTATTATCTTTAAAGACACATTTGTTACACAATCTGCTTATTCTCGGTATAAGAGAATGATGACCAAGATTAGTTTTTTATACAATTTGTGTTTGAGTAAAGGAATAGAAAAACGCGGTACATGGCAGGGAACTTTAAACAATATTTGTTATATTATAGTATTCATTATTAATGATATATTAATATTAAATGATATACTTTATGAGAAAAACTTATATTACCTGAATAACTTTTTCTTCTTGTGGTGGTCCTTCCGTAGGGCCATCTCTATACCAATCTATCCAATGATATTTGTGTTTTATACCACCACCTATTCCTTTTGCAACCACCCTACCTGCAATGTGAATGGGTTAAAAAATTATTTTCCCGCAATATAATTTTAGGGATTTGTTTATTTTAAGAATGGTAGTAAAAGCAGGTTGACTTTGTGGCGCTGATGCCAGGGTATTGGCTTCAGCGCCGAGCTTCGGTGGTTCCTCCGAAGCCCGGCGTGTGTGTGACCCTCAGAATACAAAAAGAACCACAAGCCGCAAACCAACCTAAAACTGAAATGTTAAAGACTACTTCAAAATTGAGTAGTTTGTATGTATCGCGTGACATGATTTACGTGTGTTCAATAAAATTAATTTATGCCATTTTGTGTCATTCCTATCAGTAAAAATGAACAGGACAAAATCACATTTCATATATAAAGTGCCCAGTAAGTGCTCTTTTTGTTGATTGGTAATCTCAGATTATACATACTCTTTTGATATCAACTCTGATCTTCTTGGTTTATGTATTATGTTTGAATTACTTTAAATTAAATTTAGAATGTTAGTTTTATTTGTTCAGACTGAATTGTGTCATATTTGATTGATTCCGTAAAAATCATTTAGAGAAGTAACATGTCTAGCTATATGACATAACTTGTATTTTATATAAATTTCATAATGATTACGTTTCGTTAAAAATAAATTCAAAATGTTTAAGTTGAAATAAACAGTTTTCCTATCAGTCCTTAAGTGTCTTTTTGGTTTGAGAGCGATCCCATTAGTCACATCCACCATTCAAGACTTTTAAAAGACATGATCATTTCTTGAAGACTTGACATTTCATGTAAAATCTTTAATTTGCATAATCATTGTTTTCTTTTCTTTTTTTGTTTTATACTTGCTACCATCTGATTATTATATAAGTATATAAGAATATTTGTATGTGTATATCATTATCCTATATTTTAATTTAAAAATATATGTATATTTATAAGTAGTTTATGTTACCATTTTTTGTATATAAAGTATTTATGTTACTCTTTTGGTTTATTATTTTCTAATTTAATTTTAGTTTTATTATCTCACCTGCCTCAAGATCTTACCACACCATAGGTATACATACATAATACTTTGTTAACCTATTAGGATATGTATACATACAAATTTGGTGTATTAGTGCGTGTGCATGTATATGGGTTTATTTGCAGCTTTAATCACAGGTTACTCAGAAAAAAGGAAAAAATGCCACTGCCACACAAAATATAATACAAAAACGTCAACTACTTATACCATTCCATTGATTAAATAGTCAATACTGTTAGGTACTCAAAACTTCAGGCTAAAGTACGTGGGTTTACAGTTTAATTTGGTATCATCATTGATCGTACCTGTATCAGGATCTCTTCCTGCAAGATTTGTTACTTCTAACGGTTTCACTGTATATTTATCAGGAAAATGAACAATTCTTCTATAACTTTTACCAAAACCTGGTTTTGGTTTTTCAATATTCGGTTTGCTTGCAAAATTATAACATGACAAGTGTATAGCTCTTCTCGTAATTGAGTTCGGTGTTATGTTTAAACTCATAAATAGTCTGTTCAACGCCATTTTCTCTTGGTTATGTCAACTTTTAAACTTACTTGTACTTTATTAGGAATTATTTACACACAATCTAGTTTTATGCTTATTTTATTTACAATTTTTCATTCAAAACTGGTTGTAGGTATCAACATTTCTAACCTAATTTCTTTCTTTCATTCTTTTTACTCGGGATCACAGAGATGGATTTAGTAAAGGTATAATGAAAAAGATAGTACAAAAAAATTTAAAAGGATAGTATTTGCAAAAAAAATATAGTACACTTTATAATTTTCATTTTAACAGATATTAATTTACTCCTGTTTCAAGTTTGTCAATTCTTCAATACTAGTTTCATCCTTAGAATTTAATCTTATTAACATATCCTCTGTAAGAATAAGATCAGTACAATTTCCAGTGGTAATAATTGATAATGAAATTGAAACTTTACTTTATTACAACCCAATAAACCTTTTTTAATGGATTGGCATTTATATTGTTCATTTATATAAATTAACGAAATTATAGTATTTTTCTGTACTATATGTATTTTTTTCTTACATATGGCTAGTATATGGTACGAAATTGTAATACAAATACTATAATTATAGTACGAAATCCTACCCTGCTAACAAGTATACAAATACAAAGCTATTCTATTGTCTATTACAAGACTGAAACACTATTTTACTACTAGCAACAAATGTTTAATAAATTTATAAAAATAATGACACATTAAGTATTAATTTATTCTGAAAGATATATATATATATATATATATATATATATATATATATATATATATAGATATAACTCATTTTTAAAATAATTAATTAAAGAATATATTAATTCTTTATTTTATGAGGCTGAAAACAATAGTATCAATGCCTGCTTTTAAACAAAAAGAGTTTACCAACGACGACCCCTAGCGGCAATATTCTGATAAAAATACATCGTGAATGTGGCGTGTGTTGTTTGTAATATCGTGAGTCGTAAATAAAAATGCTTGCAATGAACTGGTATTTCTCGTTTTAAGTGAACTTCATGTTTAGTAAAACAGAAATCAGTCAAGAAATCATTTGTGGATGATAAAAACTGCACGTGTTAAGTAATTTACTTTTGGTATTTGTCATATGCTGCACGCCTTTGGGTCTGGATGAGGACAAAAAATAAGCATTTAATCTGATCCTGAATTTATAATGTTGTAAGCTACAAACATTTATTACAAACCTATATTGCAATTATCTGCTTTTGTGTGTTAATTAGTCTTCAAAAGATAAAGATATCGCAGGTTGTGCATAGAAATAGCCAGGTTAATGTTTTTTAACGTTATGATCGCAGTCATAACTTGGCGTTTATATTATTTTGATTTCCTGGTACTATTATAAATTTCGCTTGCTGCTGTTTAACGACTATATATTTTATATATATTAGCGAAATGTCCTCGTACACATACACATTTAAAATAGACTTCTATTTTCGTTACAGATATAGGCAAAACCAGTCTTCCGGCACGTTATTACGCTTTCTCGAAACAATGAGGTGCCTTATGAGTGGATATATTTTCTAAATTACAATCTTATCAATATACTCACAATGGTTATCAGTGGTGAGACAGAATAAGACCAAGATGAGTCACAATCTGGCAGGAATGCCATCTTATAGGATGCCTGGGCCGGGTCTAGGGCCGTCTGATTTTAAGCCGCCCATGGATACGCCCACGCCACCAGCTCCTGCACCTAGCAACCCAAAAAAACGAAGGAAAACATCTAATGCCAACAATGCCCTTACTCCTCAACCACCTCCTACTGCCCAAGACTTATTACCCCCTCCGTTAACAGGATATGGTGATACTATTGTAGCATCCAATCCTTTTGATGACTCACCTTCAACAGTTTCACACAATGGTCCAATGATGAGTCAAAACGGGCCAATGATGAGTCAGAATGGGCCAATGGGTATGATGGGGCCCATGCACAACATGGGTGGGCCTCCAATGAGGCACATGAGTCCTCTTCCACATAACATGAGTCCTATGAGTCAACAAATGCCTCCAAGGGGAATCAGCCCTATGGGTAACATGAGCCCCATGGGCCATATGGGTGGTATGTCTCCAATGGGCGGACCAAATATGGGAATGAGCAATCACAGTATGGGGCCTGGAATGGGGCCATCTAGGTCTATGGGAAGTCCAATGAGCCCTATGAATTCAATGCCAATGGGTTCACCCATGTCGTCAGGACCAATGGGAAGTCCTATGAATATGGGTTCAATGGCAGGAAGCCATATGGGTAATAGCCCTATGGGGCCACCTATGCATAGCCCACTGGGATCAGGTTCTATGAATGGCCCAATGGGTGGTGGAGGCCCAAGCATGAATGTTTCAAGAATGAATGGACCAATGGGTCCAAGCTGCTCTAATGGTTCAATGGGACCTACTAGTTCTATAATGTCATCAAATCCAATGCAAAGTGGAGGTATGGGACCCGGGCACTGTGGGCCTATGCGACATGGCAGCCCAATGGGATCAGGAATGGGTAGTGGCCCAATGGGTAATAATGGACCTATGACCTCTATGGGTCCTGGTCCTCCGTACTCGAGCAGTCACATGGGACATGGTGGGCCAATGGGCATGGGTAGCAGTGGATCTATGGGAATGGGACCAGGACCAGGAAATATGGGTAACTGTGGACCACTTGCTGGCATGAGTGGGATGGCAATGGGAGGACCAGGAGGCCAGGGCGTGGGGCCAATGGGACAGAATATGAGCATGTTTGGACCTAAACCAATGCCTGTAAGTGCTGGGAAAGTGTACCCACCCGACCAGCCAATGGTATTTAATCCACAAAATCCCAATGCACCGCCTATATACCCATGTGGAGTGTGCCACAAGGAAGTACATGATAATGATCAAGCAATACTGTGTGAATCTGGATGTAACTTTTGGTTTCATAGGTAAGAATTTTATGTTGCTATGCGTCAAATATATAATATGTAATGTAGACAATTTTAATGAAACAATCCATGGGAACATGATGATCCCACTATTTGTCAGTAAATTTTATTTATTCTATGAACTCGATATTTTTAATGTAACCTGTAAAATTATTTGATGTTGTTTTATTAATTTGTATTGTATTTGTTAATTTTCAGGGGTTGCACGGGCTTAACAGAACCTGCTTTTCAACTGCTCACAGCGGAGGTCTACGCAGAGTGGGTTTGTGACAAGTGTCTACATTCGAAAAATATCCCTCTTGTAAAATTTAAGCCATAGCAATATGCCGTAAAGTGCATAACCACCGTTCCTGCCATCTACATGAGCTAGTGCTAATTCATCATCACAAATATTTATTTCACTCTATGCGATACAATGACTGATATATTGAATTGTGTTATAATTTATTGTCGCACATTGATTGGATTTGTTGGGAGTTTGACCAGATCTCGCATGGGATAGAATTAAGATCAATATTCTTGAAGGCTTGATATTTATAAGATTGTCTTAAAAGCATATAAATCTATTAATATACAATTTGGAGTGAGTGAAATAATATAGTGCAGACAGTCGTATATAGCTAGTCTGTTATTATTTTCATTGTAATTTATTAATTTTTTGAAAATATAATGTGACTTGAAGTAGACGCAATGTGAAGCATATCAGCAATACACTTTATGTTTTAAGGCTGATGTTGCTGTAACAATATTACATTTACTGCAACCCAAGTTCAAGAAAAATCCGAATGAACATATATTTCACATAATTCAAGTTTTATATCATTTAAAAGCAATATAAAATTTTTACTATTATATATGGTAATTAGTCATAATCTTAAAAGAACTGAAATTGTAATTTTTGTTTACAATATTGTATTTGAAATCATAAAAAACCTTGCTTGTCTACCAAACATTTGAATGACTTCCATGCTTTTGCATGGGTGATATTTGGTACTATAATTCTATCTTGTAATTTTAATTGTACATAAGACATCTGCCCACTACAAATGAAAATTTAAGCAATATAATCTTTTATGGTTTTTACTCACTCTGGTTTGAGCATGTTGTGTGTTACGCTTTATTTTTTGTGCATATTGTAAATATCTGTAAGTATTAAGTCTCAACTCTCCGCCTTACTGTAACGGTAAATTTGTAAATCTGTTAATTCATTAATTACAATTATTTTGTGTCACTCCTCCATTGCAATTTTTTTTTATCTCACGTATAGTACTGCAATAATTATTTTGTGGTTTAAAGTAAAAATAGCCAAGTTAATAACATTTATATGACATTAATATTGCGTAATTTACTTTACAAAGTTATATAAAATTTTTGGACATCAACAATTTTTCCAATTTCAAGTGTATAGAAAATATCTTATTCTTAATAATATCAGTTAAACGAAACTTTTCGAAAATAGATTAACGCTTAATGGTAAGGTCTCACATCAAAATTGATCAATCTTGAATTGCCTTAGGTTTCCAATTAATCACTGTGCGCTAGGATGTGTCATAAATTGATAACATCTAGTTAAATAAACTCTATTTGGATTCGGTATTTACGCAATTTCGGGATTCAATAAACTGGTTAGCATTCTATGAAATATCGTTACTGATTTTCAATAATTCAATAGATAAAAGTACTTAATTAAATACACAATGTTAATTTTTGTTGATACCATGTATTCATTATTAGGTGGTACTGCACGAATATCAACTTAATGATCCGCATTAGATTCACTAATCCAGCGCATTTCTAACCGCCTTGAAGACGACGGATATTCACATTATACAGCGTGTCGTTACCACCGCGACAATAAATGAACACAGGTCTAACGCTACTTGCCAATAATCATAAAAAAATATTAACGTTAAAAAAATCCATAATAAAAAAAAATATTTTTCAAACAAACTAATTAAGTAAAAAAGAAACAAAATTTGTAACACCTATACAACTGACTGATTCATACATTCAGAGACTTTTTCATTCGTTGCCACAGCGTCGCATTACAAGCCTCTCCTTCTAACAGTATGTTTTGTCTCTTTTAAATTCAACCCATTCATATGCTTTGTGGCCTTTACGAATGAACTTTACGTTACAGTTTTATACGTAAGGCTGTTGTAAAATTCTTTGTTTTGGAAAAATTAATAACTCGGTAAATATTGATGTTTAAAGTAAATGTAAATGTTTAATACAATTTTAAAAAGTTATTCTCTATATGTGTGTTCATTTATTGTCGCGATTGTAAAGACTCGCTGTATAAATACAAAAATAAATATGGATATGTTTAAAGTGAATTTCTAAATAATTTATGTACGCTGTTGAATCCGTAAATTATGGAAATGGTAAGAAATAGATTAATTTGTCTCTTGCTCTTCAGCCTTGTATAAATGAGCAGCTTTTTTTTGTATGAAACTAACTTGTCCATCATACCCATAGTGTCGTGTCCTGTATATGCAGAACGGTAACCTTTCATTTGTATGAAGTTCTCTTTTAGAATAAAGTAGTTATTAACTTAAATTCAACACATCCATGCGCACAAATCAAATTTGTGGAAAGCAATAACTATATTGTCGTTAGTAACGACGTACTTTGATTTTAGCGTTTTAGTTTGCATACTAAACCACATGTATGCTATCTTTGTACTGTAAATAATACTGTGTACGAATCCATACGCTTTGTTAACTATAAGAGTGTAAACAGTGTTTGTCAATTTTTTAACATTTGAAGGATTTTAAATATGAACGTGTAATATAAGTTAACTTTTGTACATATTCGTATATCTTATAGTATATTGAGATTATATTAAATATGTAAAATTGATTCAGTTTAGATTACAGATAGTTTGTGCATTTTTGTCAGAGTGTATTGGCGCGGATTGTGAGTCATTACAAGTTGTTTTTTGGAATTATATGTTTATTTTAGCAAATCGAATATTCTAAACACCTATGTTCGTTCTTGATCGATGCAAGAAAAGCACACTTCAGTTGCTTTTGAAACTGTTGACAACATGTTATTGAAATTGAAGACGTAGAAAATAAATCGTCTCGCGTATAAGCCGCGCGAAATTTACGTGCGAAGGGCCTCCGAGCGTGTACCGTCGACCGCAAAAATCGTTTTTTCTGTTGATAAATTTAGTATATAATAAAACAATTTTGTGAACAAAACGAATAAAAACGCTCTTCGCGACTGTATAATGGGAGCAAGATATAGTACACCGCATTGCGAACGAGACTGCAACACCTTCCTCATGCACATAATCCTTCCAATATCTAAGAACTGTCCACTGCGCAGTGATTTGAGAACACTTTGGAGGAGAAATAAAGTATAGCGTGCCCTAGTAATGATACGCTTAAATTCGTGCCTACGCTAATTTACTGCCCGTAGTCGAACACAGATACCGTATTAAAATGTTTTAATTCACCCACCATTGTGAATTTCGCGTGTTTCAAATGTTTGAAGTATCCCTACAAGAAAATAACAATTTTCTTTTCTAAAATACATGTAAGTGCACTAATAACAAGTTGAAATTTTAATAAGTATGTAACTTGTTGAAGATTGCAATATGTTTGAATAATCATTTACTTTATGTAATTTTCATTACTTTATATAATTTTTAAACCTATCTCCTTCAATTGAAACAAATTATAGACCCCTTCATATAATTTATTGCAGTCTTAAGAGATTATTAACTGGATTAAAGTTTATTCACACTAGATATATTTGTATGAAATGATTGATATTTAGTAATAAAGAAATATATTTTTATTAAATTCTACATGGATATTAATTAAAAGAAATTAAGCTGTGTATCTTCCGTATAAAGTTTATATTTTAATCAAGTTGAAATTTTGGTGCTGGCAGTGCTAAGTTTGTTGCTTAGGAAATATAACCAAAATGACCAGACTTTATTGACCCCCACCTTTTTATCACAAAATCAAGAAAAAAGATTTTTGTAATTCTAAACATCAATTCTTATGTATAGTTATTTTGTTGCCCCCATTAAAGTTATACATATAATGCAAATATTGTTCATTGTGTGATTGATCATCCATTCGTCTTTTTTCCCCATATAATATAGCTATCACGAACATTTGCCTGTTATATGTTAATTTATAATTTTCTTTAGTTAAAACCCTCTTATTTAAGAACATGGATACGAATGTCTGAAAACAAAAGATTTACAGGAGGTACAATCGCGTGAAATCCTTCAAATTACGGATAACACTTTAAACTACTGTTTCAGTTATTAATCACAACAGTATAAAGTGCCTGTCGGAAAAGAAGTATTAGAGTACCCTCTTTTGTAATAATTTAAGTTAAGAAAATATCATTTAAGTATTGGTAAATAAAAATTGGCGAAAAAATGGTACATTCTGTTTTCATAAAACTTCCATGTTCATCGCTTCATGAAGATGCTTTTCTTCTTAATTTTATAATTTAAAGTACCCATAGCGTAGTGAACCAAATTGGATAACGACATTTATAACAATTTTGAACTTGAGTGCCTCTGATTCCTCAGCATTATTTAATTATTTCATAGATATAACTTTTGTTACTTTAATTCGTGAAGTTGTTCAGGTTAACAATGTACTGTACTAATTAAATATTATATTTGAGTAAAATGCCATATATCTTTCAAATAATCCAACGTACCTACCGTTTTTCACTCATAAACAAAAAATGGTGTATAACAGTGCCTAAGCAATTCCAGCTGTACAGTAGATTTTTCACAATATTATTACAACTATTCAACAAATTACACATATTAGAAAACAAACGTAACATTGTATGTCTTCGTTGGTTCTTGGAATTTGAAATCCGTGTTTTTTTTTTTGTTAAAAATAACTTCTTTATCATTATAATAGTATATGTAAAATACTTTTCAAAAATTTTCGCAATATTCAAACCCCAAGTTTTTTCCAACACTTTGATTTGTAATTTGTAGACGTGGGAAAGTACCTAATTTCTAAGATGTAAATATATTTATAACGGAATTACATAAATTCAACATAATTGTACAGTACTTAAAACAATTGTCATAAGTTATGCGGCCATTAATGTAATTATAATTGAATAAAATGTCATTGTAAGTACATCACAATTAGTTTCGAGACTACTGTTGTGTACATTTATTGTTAAATTGCCTTTCAAATTTTCGGAATGATGGAAATGAAACGTATGACATCGGTGGTCTTTAATTTGTGCATAGTTTATTTTGTATTACCTACGTGAATAATAACGAGCAATAATAAATTGTTTATGATATTTTTATTT